TTCCACTTCTAAGTTAGAACATATTGTCTATCAGACACATTTATCTAATCACCTGAAGTTTTCTTATACTCTTTGGTGCTATGATAAAACTTACAAGTATGTTTTGTTCTCCTTTTACTTTCCAGGAACATGGACAATGATGGAAGACTGGAAAAAAGAAAACATTATTCTTAAGGAGAATACATTCTTGTGTTTCCTGTACAAAGATATATTATTTTTAGTGTCTGTTGTAAAAAAAATCAATTTTCTTGATTTGCTAATAGAATAAAGTTAATTAAACTAAATTATATCTCTTCATTCGGTTTTCATGAAACTTTTGTCTGGCACATTGAAAAATAATCTTTGATAAAGATGCTGCTTTCACTCTTCCTAGTGCATATAACACCCATTCTCCTTCATTTAAAAAAGGGAGTCAATTATTATCATTATAAGCAATATGTTCAGTAAATGGCTTGGAAACATATATTTTTATTTTTAAACTGAGGTGCAGTTTGATTATGAATGTGCCTCCTAGGGCAGAGAAAGAGAAAAAGAAAGGTAGCATAAAACTGAAGAAGTCAAAATGTGAAAGAAATTTCAAAATAATATTTGAAATTATTTTTTAAATAAAGGTTTTAGTAAGTTTCATGTGTAATTTGCCTCATGGGCAAAATATCCTATTTTGGTTAAGAGGGCTGTTTACATAAAACACACAAATTCTTTTAGGATGCTAATTTCTACATCTGGCCTACCACATTAAAGCTCAGAAATTAAACAGGTTGAGGTTTAGTTAATACTGGGTATTGACTAGCCAGATCTCAGGGCTGAGGACCTGAGAAATTGTCAAATGTTCCCAATGACAAAAAATGTCTGTAATTTTACTAAAAAGAATTATATGGATATGCCCATGTAGCCACCAGGTATCAAGCTCAACTTGATGATGTCTTGTCTTAATTCAGAATGCTAAATGGCAGATTGTCATCCCTACAAGGATAATCAGGTCAGGAAATAGACACCATAAGAACTTCTGAAAACTTATTTTTGTATGGTATAATAACAGAATCTTGAACATCTGATAGAAGCTTTCCATACCAAAGATTATCAAAACAGAAAGGCCACATTGATGTTTTCCTGACTATTCTTGCATTCCGCTTTCAAGGTTGGTTTTTAATCCTCCACAAAAGTGGAATGTAGCTGATTAGCAATCTGATGCAATGTAACCCTAAGCCATGGTGGCTATTCTAAATGAAACTTTCATTAAGCAATCATTCTGTTTCCTTAGCTGAATATTATGATGAGTCCAGATAAGATGGACTTGTAGTTGTAACCTTTCTCCTCCTTTTATTCCACTGCTTCTTTACTTTTAACCAATCATTTTTATTTCATTTTATTTAAAGGAATAGTTATACAACTTTTTATTACACCTGCTAGGAGACCAATAATTTAACCTAATTTATTAAAGGTGCTATTGATGAATTTTAATAATCAGATTTACAAAATTTAAACCAGGCTAAAAGTGGGTGGAACTTTCTTTATTACTAGGTGTTATTTGTTAGTTTTTGATCTTTTTATTTTACTTTAATCATTCTGACCATAAGCACCTCACAGCATGTCAGTCCACTAGGTAGACCAGACCCCAAAAAATCAACACAGGTTTATTATAACTAGTTTTATTGAGATTAGCTAGAATAGTGGAAACTTGCGCAAGAATGATTATGTTGTATCTCCTCTTATACAGTATTTCCAAGAATTAGGAAGGTGTTGGCCTGAGCCATTTATGAACTGTGTCTGCCTGTTGTGATCTTAAAATGTTTTTTTTATTGTCATCTTAATGGATGTTGCATATTTTTATTGAGTTAACTTCCTTACAGCAAATGCACAGTAACATGATATAAGCATACAATAATCATAAAGATCTTGTTTGTGGAAGAGCATTCTGTGAAAGCATTTCAGCAGAAAATACCTCCAAATATCCTGCTGCACATTGCCAAGAAAGGTAAAGGTATCCCTGCGAGTTTTACTCCACTAGTCACAGCTGACTTTAGGGGGGTGGTGCTAATCTCTGTTTTTGTAAGCCATGAATATTGTAAGCCATTGAGCCAGTCATGTGGCCAGCGTGACATCATGCCGCAGCGCAGAATGTAGGGCAAAACACGGAATGCTGTTACCTTCCCACAAAAGTGGTACTTATTTATCTACTTGCATTTACAGGCTTTCGTACTTCTAGGTTGGCATGTGCTGAGGTAAGTGATGAGAGCTCACTCCGAGCTCACACGGTGGTAGGACTCGAACTACCGGAGCATAGATCTTTCTCCGGTATCTTTTAAGCCACAACACCTCTTTTGCAGAGAGAGGAACTCCCCATAAACACTTTCTGCAGGGAACTTTTATTTAGAGCAGGGGTAGTCAACCTTGGCTCTTTTATGACTCGTGGACCTCAATTCCCAGAATTCCTGAGCCAGCTTAGCTTAGCTGGCTCAGGAATTCTGGGAGTTGAAGTCCACGAGTCATAAAAGAGCCAAGGTTGACTACCCCTGATTTAGAGTAAATAGTCCCATAGGTATCCAGAAGGAGGGAGGGAGGGAGGAATTCTGATGCTCCCTGCCAGCTTCCCACAAGGAACATCAATGGGGAAGCTAGCGGAAGGTCGGAAGTTGCTCCTATTGCCACTGCTTTTTAGCCCGCCCACGATCATTTTGTTCCATTGTTTGGATAAGGAAATACAGTATTGCTGAAATGATGACAGGTTGTGTAGTAGTGTTAAGGAACTATTACATCACCTGTCACGATTTCAGAGATAATTCCTTACCTAAACTCCCTCAAACAGCCAAAATGGACCAAATGTTATGGCCCTAACAGTGGCATCCATGGAGAAGTGAAGTCCTCTCCCATGTTTATGATGATGAAGTGCTGTTTAATCTTTTCTTCTCTGTTTTGCCATCTTCTACTCAGATTTATTCACCTATGCATCTTCCTCTGTAGGAAGAAAAGCTAGTGTGAATAACAAATGTAAATTGATATATACTAGAAAGGGGAAAGAAAGTGCTTCTTTCTTGACCACTTTTCCTTTAGCAGAACAAATAAAACGATGTAGGAAAATAACTCAGAAGTCTGCCACGTATGGTTTAGTTTACTCTTCAGTGCAAATAGTTCTTCCCACCATAGTTCACACATTTAGCCAATAGTTATTGACCAGTATTTCAATTATGTCCCATCCCAAACGATCCTTGTGAACCTCCTTAAACAAAGCAAGGGGAGAAACCCTTCCTTATAGGCTAGATGTTCATATTTCAGGTTCTGCTGGAAGTTCCCTGTAATATGAGAAAGGGCAATGTGGCAAAGTGAAGCCCTCCCGACCTCTAAAGAAGGGTTTTTGCAATCTCTGGTTCTGATAAGATATAAACTTGAGCTAGTTCCTTGGTTTTGCATAATATCTAATAGGATGTTGGAAATGTAACCAATGAGAAGGTATCTTTTATCATCTTTGGTGGATTTACAAGAGTGTTAAGACATATTGGAACCAAATAACGTATTTTGATACAGAAGGTAATAAAAACTGATGTGCCATTAAAATCAGCAGTTTTTCTTTTAGGTATGATGGATACACAGATTGAAAGGAAACCCGGGATGTTGTTCTTATACATGATAACAGCAGCCACAACTTCTATCTGCACAAAGGTAGAAAGATATAAAAAACTCCTACAATGAAAGAATGGATTGTGAAATTAATGGAGCTGGCTGAGATGGCAAAACTGACAACTCTTATGAAAAACAAAACCCAAAAAAGACTAGTTTTGTTTCTATTTGCAAACCAATTTTGGACTTCTCGCTTAAAAAGGATAGAAATGAAACTATGATTTTTGGATTTGATGACTAAATCTGTTTCCATTTTAGAAATATTGTGTAATGTTATTCTGCTGGTTGCTATCTGTTTTATACGTTTTGCCTTTATTTTTGTTTCTTTTTTCTTGTTACACTTTTAATTCTTCTTTTTCTTCTTATTTTTTCTAAATTTTCTTTTTCTATTATTCTGTATTTTATCAGTTTTTGAAATTCAAAGAAGTCATATTTTTTTAAAAAAAGATCTACTAGGATGCTCTACTAAGATGGATGGATGGATGGATGGATGGATAAGCACCATCAAGTCACTACTGACCCTTATCTGTCTTCCACTTGCCCTTTTAGAGCTCTCACTACTGCGTTCATTGCCAGTGGAATGGAATGGAATGGAATGGGAATGGGAATGGGAATGGGAATGGGAATGAGAATAGAATAGAATAGAATAGAATAGAATAGAATAGAATAGAATAGAATAGAATAGAATAGAAAACTTTATTGTCACTTTAAATGGATACATTCCTTTCGCTGCTGGCTGCCTTCTTCCTTTGTTTCTTTTAACTTTCCCAAGCATTATGGACTTCTCAAGGGAACTGGGTTGTGCATGATATGTCCAGAATATGATAGTTGGAAACTGGTCACTAGTGCTTCAAGTGAGAATTTTGGCTTAGTTGTTCTATGATCCACTTCTTTGCTTTCCTGACTGTGATATTCCACTTCTAGGCCCAACTTTCACATACATACAATACCACATAGAAATTATAGTGGTTTTATATATAAATAGAAGATTGGACCCAGACATGATATTCTGCCAGCAGAAATGCTTCCATCAGGAATTCAATTTAGAACAGCCTCCTTTTTGAAAGAAATAAACCCATTAATCTCAATTCCTGCTATGTTTGCAGACCTCAAGGTCAACTTCACTGTTTTGGAAAGATCCCAACATTGAACAATGGATTTTCAATAATGGATGATATAGGGGAGGGAGAAATGATGAAAACTACCTCCTTTCCCATTTAGCCAGTAAAAAGGCTCAACTGAACAGAAAACCTGGACCTAAGCCATCAAGATTTCCTCCTGACTCATATTTCAGTTATTGTACACGGAAATAAACCACCTTAGGTAACGTCATCTGCTCCGGGCAAAATTATTTAAGAAAGCCTGTTAAAGGTCACTGTGATTAAGATGAAGAATGACATTGCTTTCAGGTATTCTACTATAAATATGACTGTGAACATTTGTACTTGAACTGGATATTGTACTCAAAATCCAGAGAGGACAATACACTGAGTTCACTAGCCATGAAGTTCACAACTACATGTGTGATCCTTTGCCTGGTCAACTGCTTTTTATTTTTAGGTAAGATTTCTGATTAATCCCAAGCTAATATCTCTAAAAATATAATTAATATACTTATTTCCCTATAAAGGAAGATTATTATATGATTTCACTATGACAGCAAATGTTATAATTTATAGCTTTATTTTTAATATACCTTGGCTTTATTACAGAAGGGGGTGATAGAAATATCAAAAGAAATAGATAAAATGTATAGCAAAATATGGGCATTCCAATACATGAAGTATGCAGGAATTTTTGCTTTGAGACACGACTCAAGCAGCTGGTCTTAAAGCTGTTTTTCTGATAAATTTATTAAAAGATATAGAATGTGATGCCTAGACTGGTTTTCATATTATTCATACCACTTCATATTACAATTTTCTTAAAAATTCCCAGATTATTATTATTATTATTATTATTATTATTGTTGTTGTTGTTGTTGTTGTTGTTGTTGTTGTTGTTATTAAAAAGAAACCCACTGATATTTGTTATCTGGTATCACCACTGTATCTCAGAAAGCAGCATTCGATAGATAAATTCAGAATATTTAAGCTGAATGCCATTAAAATTGATGAGTCATTGCAGTTTACTTAAATAAATGGGTTACATTTACAGAGAGAGAAAAGCATTAGAGGCAAATAATAAGAATTGAAGTTTTATTTTAAAGCTGCTTGTTATACCTTCATGTATGTACATTTTGATGTTTCAACTTTGTATACATTAAATTAACTTGCTTATGTACACACATACATGTATATACGTATGGACCTGAAGAGCAGGTCAAGGCTAGATTGTCATGGAGAAAATCTATGTGGTCGCTAGGACTCAAAAACTACTTAATGGCACATAATCAGTCAATCAATATATATATATGGGTGTATATGCTTGGCGTATAAATTGGTATATGCATAAGTGAAGAGTAAGATTCACTCAGTGCAAGAAAGATATTGACAATTTCTTGGATTGGAAATAAATGGGAGGACACAGCAGCAGCAGCAGCATGTCTGTCCATTGGCAGACCTGGTCACCTGTAGTCCAGAATGAATATCTTGCAAACTGCTGCTAGAGTGTCTCAATCCAGATAAGGGTTTCTTAAAATGGCTTAAATGAAGTAGCATTTTAAGTGCAACGCAAATAAACCTTTAGTCTTTTATTTATTCGCTTTTTTATTATTATTTTTCAGCTCCTGGGATCACAGGACATAAGGTCAGTTTATAGTTTGACATATATGTTACAATTTTGCTTAGCAGCCGAATTATGCTCACAGTCAGGAAAATTAAAGTATCAGTACTTTACTATGATTCTTTGTTATATGTAACGATAAATATAATAATAATAACAATAATAGTAAAGTTGGAAGGGACCTTGAAGGTCATCTAGTCCAACCCCCTGCTCAGGCAGGAAACCCTATACCATTTCGGACAGATGGCTGTCCAGTCTCTTCTTAAAAACTTCCAGTGTTGGAGCATTCACCGCTTCTGGAGGCAGGTTGTTCCACTGGTTAATTGTTCTCACTGTCAGGAAGTTTCTCCTTAGTTC